ACAACAACCTATAAGACCGCCAAAATGGGCGGGGGGGACTTTTCTGGTCTAGGCTGATTCGAGCCACAACTTATACTGTGGAGAACGTACTTGATAGTCAGCGCCGTCTGGCACTACCCTACCTTCACCTTAACAAAAATTAGTGGTAAAGTGTAAAAGAATGAAGTTAGAGTTAGTTAGTTAGCTGGGTTAGTTAGTATGAAGGAGTTAAACCATCCCGTCAGAGGGATGCGCCTTGCATTCGACTTCTATTCAGAATCGTAGTGACGTATTGAATGTGTATGTGGTTTATGCAATGACTGGTAGTGGCCAGCCGATGTACGAGTCAGTACTTCCATCCTCCCACACAAGTTCACAAGTTTGGTACCAACAGACCGACCCTAAAGGGATAGAAGGCTTGGTTAGCCTAGGTAGATACCGATCCGGAATCCGAACCCGTGACCATACGTGTGTGAAGTGCGCTAGCTGCCACTACAGCACCTCCGCCTAAAAATTACTGGTACAAAAATCATTTTAGGTAAGTTCTGACTTGGCAAGGTAGAATCTTGATTGATCAAGGAACCTGATAGGTCCGGTTTTATAAACGTCGTTTGTTCCAATTGCCGAATTCCAGATTTGAAATTGCGGGTATGCGTAGCTAAATAGGTCACCTATTGAAAGGGATAAGTGATAGCGAGTTTTGCTACTGATAATCGGCGAAGCGCAGATGGACAAAAAGAAATATGATGATATTTAGGGACAGCAGGATTCCCTTTATTAGGCTCTTTAGGTCCACCATAGTATTTTGATTTCAGGAATATCTGCAACCTGCGCAAAAAGAAAACGGTGGAACTCCAAAAAGAAGTATCGTTGTAGAGAGCAGGACAGCTTAATCCAAAAAAGGCAAGATTAGGTTTTGATTTATTGTAAACCTTTAGTTTGCCTACATTCTATGCTGACAGCTCCCATAAAGCAGAGACGAAGGGCACGATTGAAAGGGTGTTGAAAAGAAGAAAAAGAGAGGGAAAATTTTTGCCCTATTTACAAATTCGTTTTTTGCTCCTTCTCCGATCCCCGCCCCTTTTTCTCGCAGCCGAGGTCAAGGGAAAATTGGTATAGCATGTGGAAAAGATGAATATTAAATGTAGAAAGAAAATGGGCGACAGGTGGTAATCAAATTTGTGAGATACGCCATGAATCTGATTTACGTTTAGAATTATAAACACCTTTTCAGCAAGCGGAAGCCTACATTCCAGGTAGTCAGGTAGTCACAGTGACCACCTTCACTACCGAGATCCGCCTTTTTTTCCTCTCAATACCTCTCCTCTGTCTCTCATGCAACCATTGACCAGGCCTATGAATAATCATAAATTAAAATAGCCCGAACAACTAGTTTTTGGAAATATCTACCAATAGTGAACAGGAAGTTTGCCAGCATTCACTTCTACTGACAACAACTTTTGCAATGAATCAAAAAACTCTGAGAGGCAGAGGACCCTACAAACCCCATAGGATCGTGTGATTTCGAGTAACTATTCCTAAAAAGTTTGTCTCATTTTTTACCGCAAAACAGTAATGATGTTTAATGACACGGCACCGTACCACATACAGTTACTAGTAGAAAAAGCAGCGACGGAATCGCAGCCATGGAGCGTAATCCTTGGAGGTTTGAACGTAATTCACGCGAAAAATAGGAATCTACTCATAGCCAAGTGAAAAAATAGGCTTCCTTTTATGGTAAACTTCAACCAGAAAATAATAGAGAAAGAGTTTCGAAGCAGTTTTGGACACATAGCATGAAAATCATCCAAGAAAGTATCGGTGTATTGAAACGGCATGAGTGAAATTGATGATGGAGCGGTAAGAGATGGAAACGGCAATCATAAACCGAAATGGGTGACTTAAAACAAATCAGATCTTTTTACTCTCTTTATAATTCATACGAATTTCAAAAAAATAAATAAATAAGTATCTGTACAGCAAGATCAACATACACAAACACAAAGCTCAACTTCTAAATCACTGGTTGACTTCACCGTTCACCACAACTAGTGTCTGACTCCTACCGTGCCCATTGCGGTTGAGAAAACTGCTCAATAAAACTGAAAACTTGTGTTAAAATCACATATTTAATGAAATGAGTAACTCAGCTAAAGCCATCTATAAACATTGAACACAACTAAATACCTAGTCGTGTTGTGCATAAACGTCGTGGCAAGCGTTATCGAGGGACCACCTCCTCCTTGCATTCGCTTCTCATTTTGAGATCGGACAAACAATGCCTCTTCAAAGGTAGCTCCGCCCACAATGAATACGATCAAATTTTCTTGCCGACCGCTGAAAATGCAATGAGAAGCTTGAAATGATCGTTTGTTTATTCCAATTATAGGCTCATACATGAGCATTTGAAGAGAAAATAAAGTGCCAAAATAGTTTTGCAGTGCAAATCCGGTAGGCATAACAAAATTGGGGGACGAATATGCATGTGGGATAAATTTAAAAAAAAAAACGAAGTCTTCGAACAAATCAGTAAAACAACTTGGAAAGAGCCAGAAAGAGAAATAGGGTGACAACGAGGGGGTCGTATGATGTGAGGATTTTTTGAAATTAAAAATCGTTTTGAAAGGTTTTGAAGCTATAACGTTTTTTGGAAGAACGTTTTGATTATTAGAGCTTCTTTTCAAGTTTCGCAATTCGGAGAGATTCAGACTGACTAAGAAACAATGGGCAAGGCAAGGCTGAAGTAAAAGTAATTATAAATTCATGAAACACACCCCGTCACATCTGCTGCGACGTACGGATACTGTTGCTCTGACAATCGTCCTTTGACGGTATTTTCAACTATATCCTTGAGATAGGGTTCATGTTGTGTATAAATATTCTCAACTCCTTTAAGGCCTTTGATAAACCTGCAAAACGTAAGCTGAAAGCGTTGAAACAAACCGTCAAATACAACAATACGGAGAAGTGTCAGTTGTTAAAAAGTATAAGAAACCGCTCGAAAAAAAGAAAAAAGAAAGGAAAGCAATGAAAAGGAATTCAAGCTAAACCTATACCTCTTCGTCATTCCCATTGTTGATCCTTCTCCGAAAAGATCACTCTTTCTCCGTGCAGCGCCCCCAAACCTCAACAGCGCTCGAACAACTTTTGGAGCATCACTATCCTGGGAAACATTGGAGTTAAATAAAAACAATTCAAGAAGGAACTTCACGTGGATCATAAAAAAATTCAGGATTATGCTCACCTTCTTAAGCATACCCACTAATGAAGAGAGTTCATTATTTGGATTTCCTTCAAACCGAAGCGCATAGAGTAGCACCAGCCGAAGGGCATTCTAGGCAGAAGATAATTATAAGGATTGAAAGCTTGGATAACAAAACGACAGTTACCAGCCGCGTTGTTTTAGGGTGAGTGATAAGAGCTCGAATACGTTCCAGACATCGAGAGTGGTCCCCTTCCGCGACTATGCTTTGTTCTACCTTGAAAAGGAGCATTAACGACAGAAATATTTCAATTATACCAGTAAATAAACAAACAAAGGCAAAATTTTATGCAGCCCGGATTTCACGGCAATATTTTACAGATTCGTGTCATAATAAGACACAGAAAGCTGTGCAACTTTTCATTTCACTTACCTCTGAGATCTCCAAGAGATTCTGATTTGAAACTATTTTGCTAAGTTCTCCAACCAAAGTGACGTGTTTTGAAACTGTGCCTATAAGAAAACAATTTCATGAAAACGCAATGGATGGTCCCAGAGCAGATTTTTTGACACTAAAAAACAAACCTGAGATCTTTTTGAATTGTGGATACTCTTCAACAAAATTCTTCATGTCAGCTATGGATTCTAGATTTTTATGGATTTGAGATTTCTGCTGGAACTCGTTCATCAACAACTTGATATTCTGACCAATTTCTCCAAAATTAGAAGAAAGGTTCTGAAAGTATAGCAAGATTAATATTATAGACAACTACTCCTCTATTTTCCGTAGCAAACGACACAACGGGCTTTAAACAAGTTCAAAAAAGGAACCTTCGCGTAGAATTCGTCATGTAACTCGCTCAATACCATACTTTGGCCATCCACCGTCACTCTGTTGTTGTTGATTGTGATCAGTTCGTGAACCTAATGGCAAAGTTCAAATGACTCGTATGTGCTACTGCAATCGAGCGTAAACAAGCATAGAACCTACCATTGCCTCGTAAGTCCACTGATTTAGTAAAGGCGTTACCGGATCTTCACTACGGTCCACTATCAACAAGACTGCATCGCGCTTTGCATTATCAAAGAGACCTTCCTCTCGCCTCATAACCTATGAGTGCCTTGTGATACGAAAAAAAATGAAAAAAAAAACGATCTCAGAAATAAAGAGAAGCTTTGAAAAGGATTAGCGGGCTCAACCAAAACGTACTTGATTCAAATCTTCAGCCAGCCGTTTGCAATCTTCCGATGAACGTTGATACCTAAATATTCGTAAATGTAATTCTCTTAAGGGAATGTGGATATGCTCACCTTATCAAGGGTTTCTTCTTTTGACTCAACAACAATGCCACAAGCGCTTGCTTAATTCGGAGGAAAGAAGAAGCCGTTACGTTGAAGGACTGATCATAGATATGCTTCAAGTTCACACTGAACAACGGTGCACTCAAAGCAATGCCATCGACGAAGAATTCGTGAACCTCTCGAACCTGAAAATGGATATTACAAGCATGGTAAGTAACACGAGTAACAGGCAGTAACAGCAAATTCTTCGTGATGGTAAAAAATCTCCGTCTTCTAAACTGGACGGTGAAGGGTGAAGAAATAATAGAAATGAAATGAGAAAGCCTCATTCCTGAAGAAAGGAGGACAAAATTGGCAACTAGTGACGAGTTTAAGTGAGGGATAACGTGATGATTGGTCAAAGAGTCAAGTGTATTTTCTTAATAAGCTTACAAATAGAAGAGAGTCTCGTAAAAGAATGAAATTACGAACTGTTATGCTGGCCTTATGCTTATACTTTTCGAAGCAATAAGTAATCTACATCAAAGCTCGAATAAAGAAGAATGGAAGGAAAACAAATAGACCACCGAATATAACAGCTCGTTAACTCAAAAACTTACCAAGACAGTACTGGTAACAAGAAGAGCAATCAAACAATAGGGACATACAAACCAAAGGAAATGCAAGAGAAGGGAAACAACTCGAAGAAAAACTTACAGCTTCGTGTTCATCTGCCTCAGCTAGTGTCTTCAGGTCAGTCTTGCTAACAATATTCGAAAAATCTGAGATATAAAGGTGGATACTCGAATCGATTGGCCATTACTGAACTTATTTGATCACAACGCTCACAAATGTAATATTGTGCGTATCTTGGATTTCGCAGCTCTGTCGATAATAATTGCACGTTATCTGGCGTAGGCCGAACAAAAACGAGACATTTAAGGTGCTTAATCGGCTCTCTTGGTACAGGCGAATCCAAGCGTTCGAATAAGTACACCTTAATAGAGGGATACTTTCTGAACTGTTCAGAAACCGAAGGCGTAAGAAAATCTGACGTACCTCTTTTTGCATCATTTCAGATTGTGCAAATGCGCACGAAACCATGGTAGTCTAAATGTTTTGAAATGAACTAATGCCTATAAGAGAGGTAGAAAGTATGAAATACCGTTTCCTTATCCATAAGTATGACTTTCATTTGGGGTCCAGCAAGATTTACCATCTCCTTGATATAGGCACGAGCCGTACCAAGGACATCCATGTCTGAAAAACATTGGAAGAAAATTCTGAACCGTTCAGCACCACACAATTTTTACTTTTGGATAAAAATACGTGACTTTTAGGTCAGGGATGTTTTACTGACTTATTCCACAGCAAACATTTATTGAATACAATGGCTAACATTTCAGGTATTGAGATCACTAAGCGAGCATAAAAGGAAAGGGGAATATAGGAACACAAATCCGTTGCATACCCAAATACCCACCGTAATACTAGTCGTAAAATAATTAATAATCCGAGGTTACAGAAAAATGGGTGTTGTCCGTAATTTCACTACGACTAAACAACGTAATTTCACGACCGATAGTAAAACTATGCAACCAGGGTAAATGATGAGAGCTCGGACGGAGTTTCATTCGCCGTTCTTGTTTAAAGAATCACCATTAGAAACAGTAGCGACTAGGGAACTGATACACTTTAGCCTTTGCAGTTCTCAACGATAGTACTACCCCGTAGCCTCTCATAACAAGGTTTTTGTTATCGCAAAGTAAACTTTGATACTGTCTGGCTCCCAGTTTCTGTGTGAGTCTACAGCCCGTTTTCACCTTATCAGCCTCTCTCAACTTTCAGAACAGGGTATCAATAACATGAAAACCATACCTCATTAACCGAATTAATTGAAATGTATCAATTAAAAAGGAATCGGATACCGTAAGCTCAAAGGGCCACCATCAAGTTCAGTAGCAATTTGGAAGAAACCTTGATATTTTTAGAAATGAACGAATGGAATAAAATTTTCGATTGCTTTAAAAATTAAATGCTCAGGAATAACAGCTATTGTAAACAAATATTCAGAAAAATGGCTCATCAAAACACTGTGATCTTTATGCAATTGACGATAACAGCACCAATTTAACAAATACTCAGATATCTGTGTTTTTTTGCCTCATAATGGGAATGAGAGAGTAAACAAAAAGGTAAACTAGAAAATAAATACCTCTGTTTAGGGAAGAATCGGTTAGTAAATATGGCACCGATGTCGTGCGCTCCGTGTGGAGGAGCTCCGATGAGCTGGACGAGCTCTCACGCCGTCGAAAAAGCGCTCCCGTCGAAATGACGTGGTGGCCACGCCTCCTCCCGCTCAGCTGCGCCCCTGGTTGCCGTTCGTTCCATTGGACTCGATTTCTGAATTCAGGATATGGAATCGGCTGCTGATGGTACATCGTCGGCAGTACCACCATCATCAGCCCCTTCAGTCGACAGTACAGCTTCAGTGACGAATCCAATCAAACGAAGGATCGACAAACTTGTTGCCAGTAAATTGCATAATGATCCCGTGAGTTTGTTTTTTTCATAAATTCTTCTATATCCGTTCACCACCTGTGGACATTTCTTTTGAGCAACTTTGATTCCTCATTTTCCTACAGTATTTTTACGTATGAAATACGTCGCGTTGTGCGGGAACGCGCAGAACCTACGCTTTACCGGACGACAAAGTAGTATAAACCTCCTGCGCTGCGCTAATTTATAGTTACATTGGAAGGTTTCTATTGAAGCCTCTTGCAGTACCTATATTTCGCTATGCAGAAAGTAAATTTGAGTTCCTGCAAGCCGTAGTTTCATTCGCCGTTCTTGTTTAAAGAATCACCATTAGCGACAGCGACAGAAACAGTAGCGACTAGGGAACTGATACACTTTAGCCTTTGCAGTTC